TTTAATTCTTTTTATTTGATTGTTATATATTAAGAAATATTATTTTTAATACATAACATTTATATATTAATAATTATTACTTTATTGGATTATTAATTTCTTTTTAGTTATTTTTTTTCTAATTTCATTTTTATTAGATTAATTCTTTTAGTTAAACACCACTCACCCCACCTCTCCTAATTTATTTTAAATATTTAGAAAATAACATATTTTGGACAACATCACCACCATTACCAAATATTTTAAATAATTTAGGAGAGATGGGGTGGTGGGATATGTTATGGGTTTTTTTTATTTAAAATAATAGATAACACAAATTTAAAAAATTAGTAATCTAATAAAGTAATATTTTATTAATAATTAAGTATTTTATATTTAAAATAATGTTTATTAATATATAATAATTCAATAAAAATGAAATTAAAAAACAACTAAAAATAATAATAATCTAATAAAATAATATTTATCCATAAATAAATATTATATATTAAAAATAATATTTACTAATGTATACTAATCCAATAAAAAAATTATTCTAATAAAAGAAATTAAAAAAAAGTCTTAATTATAAGAAATTTGTAATCCATTAAAATAATATTTATTAATATATAATAATCTAATAAAAAAAATTAATTAAAAAGATTAATGTATGACTAAACTGCAAAGTTGGTCCTTGTGTTTTGCAAAATATCGTGGATGAAGACCAAAAAAGTTTCTAACTTGCACCAATAGTCCAAAATTGAATACTTTTTGTGGATTTAGTCCCTATATCTAACAACCGTTTATTTTTCTGTTAAATTCTTATAAAATGACCGATTTGCCCTCTATCTTAATTTTTCTAATATATAAATAAAACCTAAAAAGAAAGAAGAAACCTACTGGCTACTGTTTCCTTCTTCCATATTCCTTACCCATTTCCTCCTCATCTTCCATAGCCACCCATCGTGCAACCATTGTCGTTAAACCCCGTTAAACCCCTTGCTCAAGTATTAAAAGGTTAATCCATCTCTGTCCTCCTGAGATTCATTTGCTGATAAACTTCCATGTTAAGGAAACCCATGTATCATATTTGTATAAAATCTGTTATTTATATTCCCATATAAGAAGAAAGCCCATACCTAAAATCAGACCTTGCTGGCCACATACATAGTTTATTGATGATCATTATCATCATAAAATTAGTTTTTTTGTATCTTATACAAAAAGCCTAAGTTGCTGTGTCATCATTCTCATGGAAAATTGAAGCATATCATATTTGACTGGTAAAAGCACTATCGAACACTTTGGCAAGCTAATAAAGAACAAGTGAAGGAGTACCAAGGTATACCAAATTATAGCCCAAATCATCGAATAATTTGCATTTTTGTGTTTGCTTTTATTCTGTATTTGAAGATGTTAACCCAGATTCTACATCTATGAACATAGAGTGAAGAACAAGCCAACAGTATAAGGTTATGTAAGTTATGAAGATGAAAAAATGTTAAATTATCATCATGATTTTAAACTTGTAACGATCAACAATTCCTATCAATATTACCAACTCAAATTGACTGCAATACCAATGGCACATACTTGTAGTAAAACAGATCAGTCGAATGTGGCGATATCTTATACACAATCAACATCAATATTCTCCTTTATAACTTTTCAGGTTGTCTTTTAGCAAAAAGAAAGAGTGATAGGTAGATGACGGGAGTAGGAACATAATCATAGTTAACGATTATTGGAGTAATATCAAAAAGAAATAAATTTAATTTGGGGATTAGGTTTTTGGAACTGTTCAAACTTATGTATATTTCCTTCATGCTCGTCTATTGAAATGCTTCATCTCTCATCAATTTCATGATGCTTCTTCCGATTTGTAATTAGTGTGGTTTCGTTATGTGTGGATCGGAGATATGAACGATAGACATAGGAATTGGCTTGTGGTTGGAGGTGGTGTGGGTCTAGAGAAGACGATGCAGTGGGGGTGTTGTGTAAGGGTTGGAGATAGGAACGATAGATTGATTAGCAGGCTTATGGTTGGTGATGGCGTCGGAGAAGACGACCAATGGTGGCTGGAGGAATTAATGGAGGGAGGGGATAGAGGCATCTAAACGATGAAGTAAGGAGTGTCTACACACGACCCACAAAATTCTATAACAATAACTAAAAGAAAATACATGATGCAGGGCAATATTGTCATTTCAGCATGTCTTAACGGAATAAATAAACTGCAGTTAAGTATAGGGATCAAATCCACAAAAAGTATTCAATTTTGGACTATCAGTGAAAGTTGAAAACTTTTTGAATTTCATCTACAATTTTTTTGCAAACCACAAGAACCAAATTTGCAATTTATTAATAAAATCAAAAAAAAAGAGATGCAAAAATGGTCCTTATAGTTTGTAAAAAGAAAAATTGCAGAAATGGTCCGTAAGAATAAAATTGTCATTTTAGAAAACTAGACAACTAATGCATCACCAAATATTTTTGAAAACAAAAACCACATATTTTTAACAATCATAGGGACCATTTTTGCCATTTTGTCTTATACAAAATTTAAAAGACTTCTTTTAAATTTTAACAAATGGTCCTTAGACGAAGTTTAACAAAATGTCGTAAATGGTTCTTATCGAAAATGCTCTCAGCTTAACGTTCCTATTAAACGCACGTCTCAAAGAAGGGCCATTGGTGTGACATTTTTTGTCGATCTTTGGCGTGACAACTTTTACCGAAATGGACCATGGATGCAAAAAGAAAAAGTTACATAAACTCCATTTATCGATTTTTTTAATCCATAAGAAAACCACATGACCCGTATATTGAATAATAATAATAATAATAATAATAATAATAATAATAATAATAATAATAATCTATATATCTTATAAAACTAACATTTTTCCTTGAACTTCATCATTTGAAACTCTCATGCATCTTTTCTTTCACCACATTCATTTGAAACTCCCATTACTTTTCAATTTCTTTCTAATAATAATTATAAGTTGGTTAATAAGGTTAAATAAATATCAAACCTAAAGTGTAATTAAATATAAACTAAATTTCAATATTAAAATAATATATTTACTTTTTATTATAAAGTTATGTTTTTAACTTTTAACATATTATACTTAATTTATTAGTTTAATGTATAGTTGGATGTAAACGATTATCATTTTAAAGATACAATTTTGGAACAATTTGTATAAAATAGTTATATTATTAATTTAAATATAACATTATAGGGTCAACTCAAAACATATTTTGTAAATAGTTTAAACTGATAAATTGTAGTGTCTTTATAATAATGATTATAAGTTGATTAATAAAGTTAAATAAATATCAAACTTAAAGTATAATCATAAATAGACTAAATTTCAATTTTTAAATAATACAATTACTTCTACTTATAAAGTTATGTCTTTAACTTTTAACATATTATATTTAATTTTGTTAGATTTAAAATGTTGTTGTATGTAAACCATTATCAGTTTAAAGCTACAACTTTTGAACAGTTTAAACAAAATACTTGAATTGTTAATTTAAATATAACATTACAGTGTCAACTTAAATATAAATTTCAGTTCCACTTAAAAAAACCAAAGAATATTTTGTAAATAGTTAAAAATGATAAATTTGTAGTTATAAATGGAAAAACTAAATTGTAATCTCAAGTTAACTAAAATATTTCCTAAAGATATTTTTATAATCATTAAAAATTTTCAAATAGGTAGTTTAAAATAACTTACAATAACAATAGTTAAAAATAACTATATATAAATGATTATATTGTTACCTTTAAAAATAAAAAAAACTTTATTAACAATAACAATAACTATAAATAACATTAAACCCTATATTATATTTAATTTTATTCATGTGTAACTCGCGGGTAGAAGTTATTCAAACGATTGAGATAATGCAGTTACAATAGATGTATATATTATCATATAATTCAAAATAATCAATATATTATATCAATTTAGTATACAAATTATTATATCAAATTTAACAACAACATTATTGTTATATTTAAAAAAAAACATATATTTGTAAAGACTTCAACTATATAGGTGTTTCTGCACAACGCGCGAGCATTCGCCTACTAATAATAAAAGATTGTGCAACTCATATCGATAACCCCTTCTGTCTATATATATCGGATTTTCCATCTCGTTGTATACGAGCTTTTTTATTAGATAAACCAAGGACTCGATATTATGATAATATCAATTTGATAAATGTTACTCCCTCCGTCTCAAAATTTTAGTTCATCTTTCGTTTTTTGGTTTGTTTCAAACTAATAGTCCACTTCTAAAAATAAATAACATTTTTACTCAAATTAATGACAAAACTGTGATTTTATTGTATAAAGTTAGTGACAATTAATGATTCCTTAATCTGTGTGTTTTTTTGTCTGTAGACAATAATTTTGGGACGGATGAAGTATTATAGATATCTAAGATATTTACCTTGTCGCTTATATATATATATACATCATGCAAACCATTTGCTTACCTCAGTATTCTATACGATCATTTCAACCAGCAAAATTTTGCTCAAATGTATGATATTTTCTCTAAATAAATCAACTTCGCATAAAATTTAATTAACATATTTCAGTATTGATAAACTTTTAATCATATTCTTTCGTAAGCTTAAAATATAAAGAATGGTGCATTAAGATGGAATTTCATAATTTGAAATACCGATTACAGATATGTAAATAAAGACGTAAATTAATTTTGCAATTTTGTTTCAAAGACGGTTTTGATAACTCGCAATGAACAACATAATATTAATTTGTACGGGGTGAAGGGAGTAAATAGATATAAAAAATTACACTTTCTTAATTGTTAAATTTAAAAGTAGACAATTAAAACATCAATATATTTTCTAGTAATAACATTTTGATAAAAATAGGTAACATATATTACATAAATATAATAATATTATGTTGTTTTAACATATGTTCAGAAAATAAAAATAGTCGAACTAGATGAGAGTATAAAAAATACCGATAATGTCTGCAATAGTTCGACCATTGGTGAATCGACCGGTCACGCCTTGTGGGAAATCAATCCCGTACGGTGGGTAATTGGCTTTTGCTGCTGTCAAGAGCCCGTTGTTATTGCCGCTATCAACCATTGAATCTCCAAATATAAAGTAACATGGAACCTGTGGTTCGGCTGCAACGACCACCATTAGTCGAATTTGTGTCAATGCGACAAGTATGAGAACCGAAAACGGTAGGGTGAGCCCTCGAGCCATGTTTATTGGACTACAAAAAGAGGGGTGATGATGGATTTTTGAATGCAAAATGCATGCTATTTAAAGAAAGAATGTGGAGTCGCGAAGTGGAAACATCAAACATCAGCATTTCAACGGTGAGGAGTGGGCAAGTGGGGATCTAAAAGTTACGTAGATATATATTTCTTTTATTAGCCATCAGTTTGTTCTTATTTGTTAGCACAAGTTGTACACATGTCTGTTCTAAGTCTTAACATGGCACTATTTTTAAATAATATTTTATTTAAACGGCAATATATGAATATTAGCAAGACACAGTTAGTGTTTGTTTTTTTAGAAAAAAAAATCTTTGTTTTGTCAGGTAGATAATCAAATAAAAAATTGTTTGTTTTTTAGAAGAAAAATTAAAAACATAAAAAAAAAAATTTGAACTCTTTTTGCAAAAGATAAAAAAATAGATTTTGCTTTTTAAGAGCTTATCTAACATTCTTTTCATGCATCCTCCAGTTCCCCTCCTATCAATCTATCAACACTCCTCACCATCAAAAATATCCTCACCATTCACCGCCATACCATAGTGTACTAAGTCATCATTGCCTCCACCTCCGCCTCCGCCATTTGTTGGTTGGATATTAGGGTATTGGTAGAAATGGGATTCCTAATGGATCTTGTATGTTCACTTTCCAAACTGATATTTTCACCCTATGTCTCGGTTACATGAAATCCAGTCTACTATAATCCAAAATGACACTTGTGGATCTAGGCACAGAAACACAAGTCAAATCGCCAGAGAGTTCGATATTCATTTTTTTGTAACACCTCAAATTTTATCCCAAAATTTCATTTTTAATTTACCAAAATAAAGTTTCACAAACCAAGTCATCAAAAACTTAAGTGTGTAAAACAAACATCATAAATAAATAGTTATGGGTTATTAGTAGCCCTGGAGACAATTAGCAGTCTCAGTGGGCAACATCACGTCTTATGGGTTATCAGCAACCCTGTAGACTATCCGTAGTCCTAGTCACACATAAAAAACATCATACAAAATAAACTCAGCTGGTCATCACAACTACAACTATTCTACAACATAGGTAAGAATAAATGAGGAGACTCACCTGATACTGTCGGAACTAGACTCCGCCTAATAACACAATAATTAACCCTAATTAATAATTAAGGTCTATAACTCAACTCGCGAGTCTAAATCCCATGACTAAGCCATTTTGTCCTTCCCGTGGTCCAAAACCCTAAATCTTGACCAAAGGTCAAAAGTCAACTGCCCAGCGCGTACGCTAGGCGTACTCTCTCTTACGCGGGGTGTACAATTCGATTAGCGACCAATCGGGGACGGGATTGGATACGCGTGGCGTAGCCAGGAGTACGCTCGACGTACTCTGCCTAATCCAACTTCATCAACTTTTATGTCTTAATCCGTTAAGACACCTATCCCAATTTCAGATCTGACCATCCTAGGGTGTCTTAACCCATAAAGCCATCGACTTTAAGCCTTTGCATGGCTAGAAAGGACCCAATGCAACAAACTTTAACTTCCATCACACTCTAATTCACTTTACTAATGCATAACTCAAGGGAAATGATCAAGCATCCATTTTTATGAATCTACAAGACCTAAAATGCATGAGAGGACAACTAATTTTCTCTGGGTGCTCTAAACTCATAAAGGTCCAAACTTTAGGACAAAATTCTCATAAAACTAGTCCATGGAGATCAAAAAGGAAACTCATCAAGGTATAAACTTTATACCTGAAAAAGATTCACGACGAGGAGTAGTTTCAAGATCTACAAGCTTGCATGCAACACCTCCTTCTTCAACAAATATGCACCAAAAGCATTTATTAAGCTCCCAAACTCTCACAAACAAGCTTAGACTCGATATTAGGGTTTTTGAGGGAATGGTGGCTGATAAGGAATGTCTAAGGGAGGCATACAGTGGTTTAAATAGAGAGCAACCCTTATTAGGGTTTAGAGATTGGGCTAGTATGCCCGACATACCACACGTACGCCAAGCGTACTAGAAGGGGTATGCGATCCTGCATCACATGAGTAAGTTGCGCATACCCTCATGTACACCGAACGTATGGGATAAAACGCAAAACTTTTACCACAAAAGGACCAATTATGCAACTTTGATAAAGTTAAGGGGTAAAATGATAATAGCTGATAACCGGATGTTACATTTTTACGAAAAACAGCTGAGAAAAAGGGTTCTCTTTACGGCTCAAAAGAAGAGTTGTATATATGCATGACAGACTAGGGTTTTATCTTCTAAATCAGTAAGGACAATCTCGAATTTAATGCAATAATCAATGGTGTCCAAAATTGACATGATTTATCAAATTTACCATAATCGCCCACTAGAATTCGGTTGTTCCATAATAAAGCTATTTCAAATTTCGGAAAACCTTTTTGGGCGCTGCCTTAAAATTTCCGAAGACCACCTCTAGGGGCTATGCCCCTTGGACTCCGCTTGGGGCGCTGCCCCTAGGACCCTTCAAGGGGGCACGACCCCCTCGACCCCCACCATTCCCTTGTACCAGCTTATAATTTGATCTTATATATGCATGCACTCCGCATTCACTAAACATATAAGATAGAATAAAATTAATATGCTCCTTAGCTTACATGTTAGTTCCAATTACCTAAAATGTCTGGTGACATTAAAATCACCAACACCATTAACCACCATACAATCGCAAATGGAACCTTTGGAGGGGAATGTGATCTTGTGCTTAACAAAAAAACCTAGAGAATACTCAGCTTCAAAGTTTCAATTTTCCAGTATAATCAAAAATGGCATTTTCCTCATATTGTCGATAAATTGTTAATTGATCATCTTCTTTGATTACTTCGAGGATTAGCAACTTCAACATGGGATCCAATCATTCTACCAGTCGTAAGTTTCTATTATACTCTACTTTTGATTTAAACTATCAAATTTGGGGAAATTATTTTGAAAAAGAAAGTTCATTTAGAATAAAAATCGATTGTGGAGTGTAACGTCGGGTTGATTTACATACACTCAGTCGTATTGTTTGTATCATCATTCAAAAATCTAACAAGGTATCAAGGCGGTGTTTTTAATTGGGATTGTAATTCGAGATTTTCATTTGACATTGAAACTCATTGTACCTATATGTTTATGAATTTTTGTGTCATTTTTAGTCATGCAGATGTTGATTATGGTCGTATCCTCATATTTAATGTTGCCCCCCTTTATGCTTTTGGAGAAAAAAGGTTTCTTAACGACAACAATTTTTTTGTTGTTTAACTACACAATGAAGCTGATAATTGCATGCATTTCTCTTAACAAGAAATCATATCACTCTTTTAATAAAAAAAATTCAAACATTCATGAGACATAATAAATTACGACAAGTTTTAAATGAGCGGTTGGTGCACTTTATGGAACTACAATCAATGAAAGTCTTTTAAGTTAAAAAAAATTAAAAAAAATTGTTTTCTTATGTAGCCTACAAATTATAAAAATTAAATAAGCAATCTTCTTTTCGCAGACTACATTATTGTCCACATCTTCTACTGCATATTTGGAAAAAGAGTTCATACATTCTACCTATTTAAAAAACACCTTAACAATGGCATGTCAACCAATCAAATGTTAGGGTTTAGAACGACACGCATGGATATAAGATGAAAGAGTATAAAAAAAACACAAGATTTATGTAGTTTATATGATGAGGTAATCATGTTATGTCCACAAGCGAACTAGAGAGAGTTTCTATAAATTTCATAATGAAGTTTACAATTACATCATTATGGCCGGCCCAAACTATGTGCAACCTGGGTCGTCGACTAATGTATCAAATGTCAAAGGGGCATCATTTTTTGATTTAGCATCTCCAAATAGAACGTATCGCAATATTGCTCGCTTTCGGCAACCCGTCACGAAAACTTTCTAGGGGTCACTCATCTTGAGATCAGCAACGTCCCAAAATTTTCAATAGATTTTAAACTTTTAAATTTCATTTATTAAAACAAAAATCATTAACAAATTTTAAAATCCAATTCCATAAACAAAATACAATATTTGTCCTAATTAATGCTTTATAATTTCAACCAAAGGGAAACATGAATAAAATTATATCATATCACTACTCATCATTAACGAGCCAAGCCAGTGTGTACTGTCACACTCTGTCATCCTTCGTACATGATGATCCTTCTTGGAATAGTAGTTTTAAGGGAAAGGGTAAACACAAAGCTTAGTAAATTCCAACACATAAACATATATCATTTCACATACTTTACCCCCTAACATAAGGATACAATGAACACATAACCACACATGCAAAACTAAGAAAAAATCATAAACAAGCACACACTAACTCATGACACATCGGCTAATGTCGATCCTTTTTGCTCAGTACGTCGAGCTAATATCCTACATGTATTCATCGGTACGTTGAGCAAATACCATATGCATATTCCTCAACACGTTGAGCCAATATCATACGCCTACTAGACAATAACATAACATACTATTTTCCACATACATCCTACAAGCATACACGAGCTAATGTAAAGGACATACTACATAAATATCATGTAGTGAGAAACTCACCTCAAACTGTAAAGTAGAATGTCACACCCCCGGCCGGCGGTGGAAGAATCGAGGTTGCGACGTCAAAAATCGGATCACAATTAACAAACATACATAGAACAATACAAGACTTGAATAACATTACATGTCTTCATAGATTTAAATACAAGGATTACATTGATTCAAACTTCGAAAATGCGAGTTTACAAAACAAGTTCAACAAGGTGTAATTTAACAAAAACAAAAAGGGCTGAACAGGTTGGAAAATAATAAAAGACAGGTTATTCCATAACTTACGAGGCTTGAAATCTAACTTCTAACTTCCTGAGAAGACACACGTTTGAAAATACGTCATCAAAAATTGTTGGTGAGTTCTACAGGTTTTGACTCTGATTGTCTTATTAGAAGAGGATTTTTATATAAAAGTAAATCATTATCA